ATCTAGCCACGGCCACTTGGAAGGTTTTGGTACATGCCACACGGACTCATTTATGAATTTTCTGTCCAATGGTTGTTTGGAGGCATACGAAAGATGACACCGAGTTATCGGAACAGAGACCCAGCATCTCATGGAGCTGAAAATCGTTTCTCTGTGACCTTTGATGAAAAGCATTGGCCGGCAACCTCTGACTGGCGGATGAGCTGGAATGCATTGAGACTCCTACCTCCAATGTGCCTAGGGCGGAATGCTTACCAACATCACGGACAACTGTGAGCATCTATTGATCATATTCACTTTTAAGTGTGGTGCTGAACTCTGTGTGTGGATTAGCAGACCTAATTCTCATCGGAGTCCTCTGAGATAAGAACTGTTATGTACCTAATTTTCTTTCGAGAAAACCAAGGCTTTTTTTTAAGATTGTCTATCTCTCTCTCTTCTTTCCTTTTTTATTTTTTATTTTTTAAGTTACAGGACTCCTACTTCCATTGTGCCTCCGACACAGTGACGAGTAGGTCAGTAGCAGTATTACTGATATATTTGAGTGTTTATTGATTCTTTCTACTTATCAAATACGGTGCTGAATCTTTACATGAACTGTAACAGTTAATCAATCCTACCAGTAGTAAGAAGTATTATACACCTTATTTTCTTCTTTTCTTCTCTTTTTTTCTTTGAGGCAGAGTCTCACTGTGTAGCCTAGACTAGTCTCAAATGGGTGACAGTCATCCAGCCTCCATCTTTCCGGGGCTGGGATGACAGGTGTGAGCTGCTTTGTAAGATGTGTTATTTCCAATTTTTGCACTTAAAGCAAGACTGCATTGCTGATTTTATATTGCACTCTTTCAAATAGAGAAGATTATATAGTTGCATAAAATGTGCCTTAAAATTTTGTATAATATATATATATGTGTGTGTGTGTGTGTGTGTGTGTGTGTGTGTGTGTGAGAGAGAGAGAGAGAGAGAGAGAGAGAGAGAGTGTGCGTGTGCATGCTAGCACACACTTGCATCTCTGTGTACATAGCTCCTGAGAACAGAAGGCAGGAGCCGAGACAGAGGTTAGTAAATTGTGGAGTGTCCAGAGCTAGGTGGATGTAGCCTCAGCCTGTTGGAAATGGAGTTTTGGTACACGCCCCACATAGACTCATTTATGAACTGTCTGTCCAATGGTTGCTCTGGGGCTTGCAAAAACAGCATCAAGTTGTTAGAACAGAGACTCAGCATCTCACTGAAGCTGTAAAGACTCTATGGCCAATGGCGATTTGGCCAGCCACCTCCAATGGCTGGTGAACTGGAGTGAATCAGGAAGGAAGTGATTCAGAAAAAGCCAAGGCCAACCCTGTGGCAGCCTTGCTGGAACTCCTGTGCCACGTCTCTCAGTGTTGAAGACACACGGTACTGCAGTCCAATAGGGCCACCTGTGTGTGTGTTCACATGTGTGGCCGTGTGTCTCTGCATTTTAGAAGACACGTTTTGGAGCTGTGGAGATGATTCAGTGGTTAATACCCTGGCCACGAAAATGTGAAGACCCAAGTGTGGGTTCCCAGAATCCATGTAAATGGCAGGTGGGGGTGGCAGCCCTCCTTGTAATTCCAGACTCAGAAAATAGAGACGGAATCTAGAGAGAGACTAGCCACACTGGAGAGCTCTGGGTTTGATTGAGCAACTCTGCTTTGGTGAACAAAGTGGAAGAGTGATGGACCTCCATAGGCGTTCTCTCCCACATATGTAGACATGTATGCACACTCAGCACATGTGTGTGCATGAAAGTGGAAAAAAGCAAAAAATTAAAAAGACAAGTTCCACGAATAAGACTTACCAGCATGAAATCTAGGTCCTAACCTGTTCTCACTCAAAAGTGCCGGTGACAACACTCTCAACTGATCTTGTTTGGACCGAAGACCCTTGTCACCCACAGTTTGCAAGCTCTGGCAGGTAACAGGGAAGCAAGTGGTGTGACCAGAATCTTCTTCTGCCTCCTTTGCCAGACCCTCAGCAATGCTTGAAGGACTTATCCAAAGATAAGTATATATGGTGGCTCGTTCCAAACAAGCCTGTGACCTTCCACCTGCTCCAGAATGTCACCGATGGAGTGGGGAGCCAGGGCAGAGTGATGATCCCAGGCTCTGTGGGTTGTCCTTATATCTTATTCGGGACACTTTCGGTAAGAGGGGGACAGATATCTTACGGTGAGCACAGGGAAGCCATGGATGAAGAAATCCCAGGACTCTAGTTGGAGCCTTCTCTGGAGATGCAGCTTGCCTAACTCTTGAAAGGATCACAGGAGCGGGACTGCGAGGTGGATAGGTGACTACATGTGGTCAGTTCGTTTTTACAGAGGTTGTTTTATGACGGACACATTTGCATGTGTGTGGGATTGCCTATGTGAGATAGCTTCCCCTGGTAAGAGAAAAAAGGAGACTTTGTATTTACTATGATCCTTTTGCTTGCAAACAAGAAGCCAGCTCACCCTAGCTGAGATGAAAACCATAGCAACGCAAGGAAATCGTGGACACCAGTGCCTGGAAGGGCTCCTTCCATGAAGGGTTTGTGAGAACTGTGACCCTTGATTGGAATCAAGAACTTGATAGAGCTAAGACATCTCTGGAGCTCTGGGCATTTCTTTGCATTGTCCTTCTTTAGATAGACTGAAGCATTTTCCATGCTGGGGAGAGATGGCTTCCAGATGTGTGGGTGTTTTTCAAACTTAGAGGAAAGAGAGTTTCTCTCTCCTAGAAGATTCTAGTGAGGCTGCTGTAATTGGGAAGCAGTCTGAGGACGGGTTGG